ATGCCCATGGCGCCCGCAAAGACAAGCGTGCAGACGACGACAGCGCCGATCGCGATCGACGAGGCGACGTACCAGAGGAGCGTGACAGGCGAGATCGGTGCGCCGCCGTCGTCGTCGTCCATCGACGTCGGGATCGTGGCCCGGGGCATGGACGACTGCATGAGCACGATGGAGGCGAGCGACGGGCGCACGCCGGTAGAAGACTCGTCCAGCGTGAGCGGATGCGAATGGGGCGACTCGGAGATCGGCGTCGCGTCGTGGTAGTCGCCGCCGGCTGCGGACCCGCGCGGCGAAGGAATCATCTCGCGGAATGCGACCAGCTGGGTCCGACGAGCTGGTTCCCGCACTTGGTGTTTGTATTGGCCGCTATAGAAAGACGGTCGCAGCGTGCAATTGCCGTAGATAAGTACAGTGGCCGGGCTACTGGTTCGCGACTGAACCGCGTCGTTGCCCTCTACACTGGTACCTGCGTGCATACTAGTACTCTTGATGCATCCAATGCTAATAGTCCGCCGCCGTCCAGATCAGAGGCCTCCGAGGCGAGCTCCAAGGACTTTGCAGAACGATCGAGGCGGCTGCAGTCGTTCCTACAACGCGTTGAGAGCTAGCAGCTCTTGTAGAGTGAGCGACCGCTATTAGGACCACGGGGCCAGAGTGCGTGGCCACGTTGGTGATAGCAAGTATTAGTATCCAAGTATCCTGCACGATGGATATGGATACGACGATCCGATACACCAGCTCCTTATCCTTTTCAACGGATTTGGTCGCCGCCACTAACCACACGTGGTGGACTTGAGCCAGTCCTTCGAGGCTCGGTTCCGTGTCCTAGGGTGATTGCACATGTAGCGCGCAATGCTGTCGCTGGTTGGCCGGAACGTCATCCTCTTGCAGCTCGTTCCGACGCCCGTTCTTACGTGTGACAGACTACTGCATCTCGTGCCCACCTTGGGTCGTCCTTGGCGCAAACCCTCGAGGTCCCGCCCACGAGGTGTTGCCTTTTAATGCAGCGGCGCGATGCGAGAAGCCACGTCGGGCGTTGCGCTGCACATGGCGACGCTATACATAGCATCAGCAGGTTCTTGCTTGCAAGAGACTAAATTTAGGCTCCCTCGTGGCGTCTTCTTCTCGCGCCATGGCGACGTCCAAAGTGTCGGTGCCGCCTCCGTGCGTCATGCTCACGGTCGTCGTAGGCACTGCGGAGACGCCGGCTCGGTTGCCGCATCCGCCACCAGCTGGGTGCAGTCGTCCAAAGAGCTCTTGCAGGCGTACGCGGATCCGGACGAGTCGCATCTCTCGCTGCGCAGTGCGTAGCCACCATCCTCCTCCTCATCAGCATCATCCCAATGGTCGTTTGCTAGGTGTCGTGCGGCGCGCCATGGAGCGCGAGTACGTCCTCATGCAGTTCAAGCGGTGCCAAGAGCAAGTGGGCATGGACCCGAACCTGCTCTTCTTTGCAGGTCCGTGGCGATCGATAGCCAACTCTTAGCCTGATCGTAGAGCCGTACGAAGCCAATTTTTTGCGATTTCTCAACACGATCAACGCCGTGCGCGTGCGCATCACGTTCGCGATCGGCGGCCTCGCATCCGCTCTCCTCTTTTGGTACGAGGCGACGCGGCTCGACGCATACGACGCCAGCCTCCAAGGCTTCTCGCCCACCCACGAGCGAGCGCTGTACATTTTAACCTTTGGCGTTATTGTGCCAACGTTCGGTCTCGGGTTTCTCATCTCGTTTTGGCCCCGCGTCCGGCGCCAGCACCTCGAGCGGTAGCCGTCTCATTTCGTATTTCAACGCCTTCAAGTCGGCGATGTAGCATTGCGATATGCGTCTACTGGATCGTGGCCATGGCGTTCATCACCAAGAAGTGGGTCCAAGCCGCGACCGGCCCCGTCTTGCCGCTCGTGATCCTCTTCATCCCGATCTTCAACGTCACGCGCGTTCGGTTCGCGTACAACTGCGTGCTGGGCTGGAGCATCGTCATCACGTACAAGAATGCGTATCTTGTTCCAGTCGACTAACCCTCGTCGTTTCACGAGTAGGTATTTCATCGTGCAGCTCACGCTCGGGCCCGACGTGACGTCGGCGATTGTGTTTCAGTCGGTCAACTACTCGATGGGCGTGATTGCCGGCATGGTGTCCAACTACCAGCGGGTACTCGCTTCGGTCCCTCGCCTCAGCGGTCGTATATTTACATCGACTAGGAAATTCTCAAGCGGCGCAACTATACACTGGGACTGCCCTTTCAAGGTGCCTCTGTGTATCGTCCTTGGTTGCTAATAGGTCGTGGTTAGGCGTCATTAGCGACGCGTCGTCGCACATCCACGACCCGCGGTATCGAAAGGAGCATCTGTGCTCTGCCATGACGCAAGCGTTTCGCAGCGACGAGCTCGAACAGTGGGCAATCTTTCCCGATACCTATTGGCACCTTGTACGCCTCGTGTAGGTATTTCATTCGGTACTGGTACCTCCTCGACGGCAGTCCGTATGAGAACCCCAAGGCGGGCGTGCTGCACCTCAACGTCTACCGCGGCATCCGCAACGCCACCATCGGTCCGCTTTCTTCATGACGAAGCATTCTTCTTAGCACAACCTCTCTGCTACTAGGTATCTTTCTCAACCAAATCACGCTGAGTCTCCAAGACACCATCAATCTCAACGGCCAAGACATCTACCCGTGGACATTTCTCTTGCGGCATGGCGGCGTCTGCACCTTGTATGCGCTGCAGTACCGTCTTTTCTACTACTATGGCCGGTTGTACGCCAACCTGTGGCGGAGCCAGCGCGAAGCGAAGCGCTCGGTAGTCCCGCCCACGTCGCAGAGAAAGTACACCGCGCCCCGCGACGACTCGCCGCCGTCGTCGCCTGCCAAATCGAATATTTACGTTCAAACCAAAGCCGTCCTGGATCGGACCATGGACGGTCTGGATGGCGGCGTACACACAATCTGCAAAATCGTGAAAATTGGTGTTGATCATTTTTTTGAAAATTAGATGCAAAAAGCACAGCAAATGACGACGCTCATCACAAGTCAAGTCCAGCAAGTCGTCCACGAGAAGCGAGGATACACACACTCGGCGCAGCGCACGACGCTCCTCGTGCTGGCCGTGCACATTAGCGTCAACGGTATTGCGACCGTCTATCATCGGTGCCAACTCAAAAAGACGTGTTTGTAGGTGGTATCTTTTTCTGGATTGCGACCACGATTGGCGCCAAGTCGGTCTACTTGATGGGCTTTCTCAACGCTCTTCTATCGGGGCACCGGTCCGGTTTTCGTCTCCGGTGCGCTTTTATTTGACCATTGGTCTATAGTAACACGCCAACTAGGTTTGTCTACTCGAGCTCGGGAACGTGTGCGCTCAGCATCGCCTTCCTGTACCTTCTCAAAAGGCTTGTCTACGAGCGCTTCACCGAGTACATGTCGTACGTCCTCGTCGTCCAATTGCTCGGCATGATTATCTCGTACGAGGAAGAAAACCTGCGCCGGTAGGATTTGTGTGGATCTATACAGTGTTTTGGTATACTGGATGGCATAGCTCGTTTTTCATCAAGAAGACGCTGCGACTGCTCGAATTCCAGTCGTGGTGCCGCGACACGATTCTGCTTCCGATCTGGATCCGCAACAAGCTCCGCGAGAAGGCCTCGTCGGCGAAAGCACGCGTGAGCTCCAAGCACGCTGCGGCGACATCAACGAGTCCCAGCGTGAGCGGCGAACCCAACCACAAACTCAATTTGCGAACGTCGTTGGCAGTCCTGAAAACGGTGGTCGCCAACCCGATGCAAACGGTCGCGGGGCTCAAGACTGTCGTGGCCCATCCGATACAGACCGCGGCCGCGCTGCCGTCGGCGCTGCCCACGATGGGACTCTTCAACGTGGACTGGCGCATCGACCTGCGCGAGCTCCAGCAACACCTCAACAAAGAGAACGACGTTGTCACGAGCGCGTCCGCTCGATACAGCAAAGCCAGCCTTTACGGCGTCTACGCCAACTCGGTCAACGTCCTCATCGCGACGGGCCAAGTCATTTTCTTCTTTGCCCGGCAATGAGACCCGCCGGCGACGATACGAGCTTCGAGGCCCCGAATATGTTTAATATCCCAAGACGGTATCACTGTTGTAGAAGAGAGTACTACATTTGATATCCCAATAACCAAGGACTCCAAATATTATTATGAATTCGCTCCATGCAACGTTGGCGCAACGCAGCGGCTTCTGCATCACTACGATGCAGGCTGTGCTGCATCACTACGATGCAGGCTGTGGATACTAGCTTGTCCAAGTCACACCTCTCTGTAACGCTAATGTATTTCACGAGGGTGACGCCCATATCGCCACGATCTCTGCGAGTCTAAAGCTGCCGCGCCGTGTGTGTCTCTGCAAACACCCAGCCCGCCGGCACATGACTCTGTCGCCACATCCTCATCATGCCAGCCTGCCATAGCCTCGTTGCCGAGGCGACGAAGCACGCGTCACGTGTCATTCAACTAACGCACACCCTTGCATGCCATCCGGTATGAATCGACTGCCAGCTATCGATTGCTGCAGCTACTGCCAAGACGTGCATTACTACTTATCATCATTGCTTGTCATACCGAAGCAAGGGTATATAGTAAACATTCATTATTTACCCTTGACCATAGCATGCTGCGAGTTAACACGCGGTATCCATCCGGTCCACGTCTTACCCTACCCCTAGCAGCAACGCACCAAACCCGACAACACGCACATACAAACATCAAATCATTCATTACGATCATAATAATAAAATAAATACGACGACGCCGAGACGACAACGTCGGACAGTCGGTATGGGACGAAAAGAAGCCAAGTGTCCTAGTATCGTTATCTAGACTAGCCTTGGACGCCGTAGTCGGCGCGGTACTTCTTGATCGTCGAGACGTACGTCGCGCGGTCGGCCGCCGAGAGCGCCATGGGGCTCTCGCTTTCCAGCAGTGCGACGAGCGCGTTGAGGTTGGCGATCGCAATCACAGGGATCTGGAACTGGGCTTCCACGAGCTGGATTGCCGACCGCGTGTCCGTGATCGACGCCTTCTCCTGGCGGTCGAGCGAGATGCAGACGCCGACAACGTTGGCCTTGGCGTGCTGCAGAATGTGCATGGCTTCCGTGATGGCCGTGCCGGCCGTGATCACGTCGTCGACGAGCAAGACGCTAGTACATATATCACGTCATCAACACACACCGTGTGACGTGATCCGATATGACATACCGCTTGCCGACGACGTCGGCGCCGACAAGAACACCGCCTTCGCCGTGGTCCTTGGCTTCCTTGCGGTTGAACGTGAACGGCACTTCGCGGCCGTACAGGTCGTCAAAGCCAATTGCGATCGCAGCCGCGAGCGTAATACCCTTGTACGCCGGGCCAAAGAGCACGTCAAACTCAATGCCGCTTTCCTAACAGCACGTCATCATGAGACATGACCGCTGGCACAAGCACGTCGTACATGGATGGTCTGGGCGTAGAAGCGGCCGAGCTGGCGGAGCATGCGGCCCGTCTTGAAGAGACCGGCGTTGAAAAAGTAGGGCGACTGGCGGCCCGACTTGAGCGTAAACGAGCCGAGCTTGAGCACGTCGCACGACATGCAAAAGTTGAGAAAGGCGGCCTGCGTCTTGGCGGCGAGGCGCGCGCGCACCGCGTTGATGGCATCGCGGAACTCGACCGCGGCCTGGCGCGGGTTGGCGGCCTTGGAGATGCCACGCGAGACAGGCAGCAAGAGGCCAAAGCCATCGGCCGAGCAGCCGGCTTCAACGGCCGCCTCCAAGTTGCCACCCTGCGCGCCGAGACCGGGCGCGAGGAGCCCACATGGTCGGGCAAACCTTGCGCACGTTCTTGAGCGCGTCGACGCCGTGGCGCCAACGACAAGGGCGATGTGTCCTTCGTGTTCCACTCCTGCGCCTTCTTGGCCACGGTCTCGTAAACCATCGAGCCGACCTGGAGCACGAACGTCTGG